TCTGAAATATAAGAATTTTTACCATTAGAACATAGTGCTAACATGAAAAGTAGCCAAACAAAGCAAAAGATAAAACTAAATGTCAAGATATTTTACAGTTTTAGAAACAGAAAGTGACAGCTATTCAATAGCCTGTCACGAGGAAATAACACATTCCCTTTGCTTATAAGACTGTGATCTACACCAAAAAAGTTGATGGGAAAAAAAAAAAAAGGAAAACAAGGGAGGAAAAAACAGTGAAACAGTGAAATATTGCTTTGATAATTTATATAAGAAAGGCAAAAAATTCAACTGAATGATAAACGAAACATTAGGTACTTGATCTGTCCCAAGACTAGATAATAAAAACATAACCTTAGACGCAAGAAAGTCAGAATAATGTTCTAACGTTTTATCTTTGGATGAAAAGTCTTACGTTTAGGAATAGGAAATGAAACACAACAGTATGAGAACTTAGACCAGCCATTTGATAGGGGTTTCAAAGAATATCTCTGGTAGCATTTTGAAATCAATCACTGGAGACTTGGACCTGTGGATTAACTTAATCATGTACTGCATATATAGCAATTTCAGCATGTCCTCGATGAAGATTCCACCCTCAGATTTTAAAAAAATGCAGCCTTCCAGAGCCCAGGTTTAGTAAATTCTTAGCAATAAGAAGAAAGAATAATCATAGTGCCACCTGTATCCATATCATGCTGGTCTGGAGTATTGATACTTTCAATATTAGCAATTAAGAATTTATGTGCAAAGTTTTAAAAAGAGTTTTAACCTAATCAAAGAGAACGACCTTTAAAGCAATCAATAGAGAATGCAATTTTTGGTGCTTTGATAAATATGTTGACAGATTTTTAAAAAGTAAATCTATTCAGGATTTTCAAGCTTGAAATAATCTTTTAAGATCTGCAGAGCAGCAGAATGATAGAATTCAGTTTGGTAACTTGAGCTGAGTATAGTTGAAAACTCTACTTCTCAAGTGAACACCCTTGCCATTAATTCAACTCGAAAACCTCTTCTCAGCCCTGGATATAACTTTATTCAGCCTGTCTCTTGAGGACATTTACATTTCTAATTAGGTGGTGAGTACCATTGGGAAGCAACCTATTCAAATGTCAAAGCAGGCATTATTTTGATACAACAGCTAAAATATATAGCTAGGTCATTCTTTAAAGAATGACCTGTTCTAATCTAATAAGCTATCACTAGGATTTGAAAGCCCAAAGAAGATGTTGCTTGAAGTGCATATAATCATTATCCACATATCCAGTGTATTTATTAGTTAAGTACTGATTTATTTAAAGACAAGGTTTTGCTATATACTTCAGGCTGGTCTTGAACTCACTATGTAGCCCAGCCTGGACTTGAACTTGCAGGGAGCCTTCTGCCTCAGTCTCCTGAGTGCTGAGGTTACAGGCACGTGCCACCACACCTGGTGGACAGCGTATTTAAAGAATACAGCCTAGAATACATCTGATGGGTGAATTAAATCGGAATTTCTAAAAGAGGCTGAAAGAAATTAAAATCAGATTTGGAACATAAACTACAGGACATGCCTCCAGCTTGGGGGCCATTTGCTGAGGATTCTGACAGCACTCAATTTCACAGGGGAATTATTCCACTGGGACTTTCATGAGAAGGATGAAATCGTAATGGATGCATAAATACATGAGAAAAGGAAAATTCTTTTTCAAACACTTAGAAATATAATCAAGTGTTATAGAAAAGGAAAATGAATCAAGTGTGAGTCTAATTTCTATGTGCAGGTTGATTGTTGAGTAGGGAGAAGGGACATTGTGGAGTCATTAAGGACTTGGAATCGGCCTCAGTAGGACCCACTCAGAGGCGTTAGGATATACATGAGTTTATACACATGTCCTGCTTTTCAAAACAGTGCCTGGAACACAGTAAATATTCAATTAGTATCCACCACCCTCCTTTCCCTCAGCTTTCCTGTTGTTTCTATAAACAGGGGACAGGTATATTATTTGATTAAAATTGCATATTACTCTACATTTAATATTATCAACATGCACCTAGCGATATTTTAGGTGCAAATAAAATGCTGTCATTGAATTAGATCTCCCAAGATTGTACGCAGTCATTTACAGTGGTCAATTAAGGGTATATCTCAATATATATGGGACCTGCACTCTTAGCTACCATACTTGTTTAGACCTGTTCGTGCTCTTTCCTTCAAACTCTTCAGAGAGCTTAGAATTTCCATCCAACTTTGAAAGCTAATAAAACTTCTCAAATCAAGCCACTAGTCTGAGTTCGCAAGTGAGGAATTGTGATGTGTGACTTTTGTCATTTTATGCTTAAGCAAAGAATATAATTAAGCAAAGTATTTTATGCTTTCATATCAAAGACAAAGAAATATCTCCAGGAAAGCAACTGTATAACCAAATCAGCTGTAGTTTCCATTAAAAAAATCAACTACTTTAACCACAGAAATGCCCTAGAAGGACTTAGGGCCCAGATAATCCAATGCTTGAAGGAGACAATGTATGGAAAGGCAGTCATTGCTTTCTAGCTACATATTGACTATTTAGAAAAATGTCACCCTCTTTTCCATGGAAATACAAGTCAATAAATTAAAATGCTTTCAAAGACAGCCAATTATATTAAAAAATTAAACAAAGAAATAAAATGTTAAATTTCTTTGCAACAATACCTAGCAATGTATAAAAATTGACTAGCTTGCATGTTTAAAAAAAATCATTCTCAATAAAATGTTAGAAAGAATTTAAATTAGGCACAATTATTCATTTTTACCTCAATCTTGCAAAACATGATAAGCCAAGGGGAAGGACAACTCTGAATTCTGTTTGCAACAAGTATAATTAGCTAATGAAGTTAGATTTAAATTAGGCACTCCTTCTTGCATCTTTACATTCCATAAAAGAAATGGTAGGATACTATTTTAATAAATTTGCTATAAGAAGTAGTGTGTGATTTCCCGTAGGCAGCATTGTTTTCCCCTGGTGCTGGGGGCTGAATCCAGGGCCTCCTGCATGCTAGAAAACCGCTGTACCGCTAAGCCACAAGCCCAGCCAAGTACTCTTTTGGATTATCTTACTACTGGTTAATTTTTCTCTTCTAACTACGGTTGAACGTTGTCAGGATAAATGCTTTGAAAACAACTCTAGACATGAAAAAAAAAAAAGGCCTGAGGTATTTTGGAATTCTGACAGAAAACTGCTGCACAGCAATTATCTCAATATCATAAGAAAATAAAACAATGCACTGTCTAGTATACCAGAAACCCTACATTTTAATCTTGAGCTTTATTTTACTTGATTTCTTAGCATCTTACAGTATTTGTAATGCATTGCTTTAAGAAAATCTTCACAGTTAGGATTCAGTGAAGCTTTAAACAGGACTAAGGTTTTCATTGAGATAATTGGTAATATTTTAGACAATCATTTACCAAAGTATTTTACAAAGCATTAAGTCCATGTGATGCTACTGATAAGAGGTTTTATGACCAAATAATGCCAGATAGGAAATCTTTGTAATCATCTTGAAGATTCTTTAGAATGCATGTTCTCTTAAAGCAGGGCATCTGTCTAAGCCCTGTTTACTACTATAGCCTCACGTTTGCAGGAATGCTTTGCAGTTGGCAAGCATTCAGCAGAAGTGAATGAATGAATGGCACAGCCATTGGATCACAGGAATGCTTTGCTTTTTGTTTAGAGCACTGTAGAACATGCCCAAAACCCCAGAAACCAGACAGTGAGAAGATAACTAACATTCATGCAACTTCCACCTACACTAGCCTCTTGGGGATGCCTCCTCCATTCCACTCACCCCATATTCCATCTCTTCCCTTAAAGTGGGGTGACCCCAACTTTAGGATTTTTAGGTTCATGTGATGTTTTCTGCTCTGGGAAATTCTGAATTGGGGGATTGCTAAAATCCCTTCAAGATTTAAGATTTCAGTTTATTTCTAGCTAGTATATATTTTGCAAATGGTCATTTATAAGTCTATCCAGTTACTGTATTAATGAATAAGAAATGAATGAAATAAAACACTGTAATATAGAAGTAAGATAATTGATGTAATAATGATATTTACAGAGGGACTAAACAGCTTACTTTCAAATAGGCTGAAATAAAATCTAAGGATGAATATATATATATTAGATTTTATGTTATTTACATATATTTAGATTATATATATATATAATAGACCTAAGTATAGAAATTTTGGTTATATAACATAGACTAAGGAATTTAGGAACTATTCTCTACAATTAAGTATAAAGGAAAGCATCCTCAACCGTATGTGTGTGTATCCATCACATAAGTACCAATATGACTGAAGAAATCTTATGGGGCTGCAAAAGTAAAACCATGCTAATAATAACGTCACCAGGTATCGTAATAGATGCTGCCAAGAAAGGAGGACTTCCTTCTTGAGCCAAATAAGCAATTGATAATGAAAATGGTTTTTATCAACATCCAGCATACCCCAAAGGAGAATGCACGAGCTGACATAGTTTGGTAGGAAGAGAACCACATTTAAAAATCTAGTTAATATTTTTCCTAATATTGTTTTGGCAAAATCTTTTGTCTTCAAGTAGGTAATTTTAAATTGTTTGATCAACCAGTCAATTTAGTTAAAAAAAGAAAAAACAATTGAACCCAGTACCTGCAACAGTTTAGATAACTACATATACAACTAAAAAACATAAATAAGTGAATAAATCAATAAGTAAATAAAGGACTAGAGCAACAAAGAACAAGACGATCCACAGATGGCTGACTTCTCCATTACCTAACTGTAACTGGTATCATGTAGTTTTATGGACACATGCAAGGATTAGGATTTCAGTTCATTTTTCAACCAAACCCACTGTATCCATCTCTTGTTGAATACTAATAGAACTAGATAAAATCTGGCTCTCTTTGGAAGCCCACATGCCCTTTCTCACCTTAAAATGAATGAAATAAATTAGCATCTGAAATGTTTATAACAGAAAAGTGTTAATGCCTACCTCCATTATCTTTTAGATGTAGTGCTATCTTGGTGTCATCTGGAAGAGAAATTCAAAGTTATTACAACAGAAAATGATTTTTAAAGGTGCATAAATCCTATAACTAGTAATTGCCTAGTCGATGGCCTTAACTGTAATATGACTAGATTTTGATAATTTATTGAGTTAATTTCTACTTCAATGAGACCAAGAACATGACATAGTACTAAAACTTCTTGCAGACATTACAAGAACAAAACTTTAGCAAAGGATATATGATTGTTAAGTTTTGGGAGAAAGGTAAACAGCCATAACTTAAATTATACCTATTTTTAACTTAAATAACTTATAATGGGATTTGTAGTTATAACTTTATTTAAAAGTTAAGATCAAGCAAATTTCAAATTAATTGGAATGGTCAGGATTTATCCACATTTAAACATTTAACTTCAAAAAAAGTTAAATGGGTTTTTGTTAATAACAAATATAATCAAAAGCATTTATGAAAAGATTTTGTCCTGAATGAACATAAGATAGGTCGTGCCTTTTCATTTGGGTGGTTATATTTTCTCCTAAAGGGTAGAATTTATATTACAGAAATATTTTTCATGGGTTTTAATATAACGATCTAAAATAATATCAATTTAATATGTTGCTTTTAAGATCAATAAAATGCATTTGGCACATGCCCTCCATCTTACTTTATTCCAACTGCCTGATAGCATCCAATTAAATTTCAATTAAAAACAATTGTTTCAAATTTAATTTAAATTCCTATTTAAAAGAAAGCAAGGCTATGACAATAATTAAGACTATCTTTGCCCAAGAAAGTGAACCCTCAGCCATATTCTCGTATTTCTGCCTACTTCCTAGCAGTACCATTCAGAATGAAAGTTATCAAATGATAGCTAACATGCCTTCTTCCCCACAAATTGTGCCTATGTATTAATACTATAGTAATTCTGCCTTCTCTATAAGAGGAAGAACAATTGTAACCCTCACCACATCTCTGTATAGGCTATGGACTAACATTATATGGTATTGACTGTGTTCAGGAAATATTAGAATTAACAGAATAATATATTATTCAGAATCCAAAAACAATGGAAACTTCATGCATCTGTGCCTTCCCCTTCCTGTGACTGCAGTGTTAAGCTCAGAGACTGCTAAATTTAGCTTCATGAAAAGAAATCTATATTTTTTCCCAAAGAGAACAAGAAGCCAGATTACAAGTAACAGTTAGATCTTAATAAAAGACACAATACATGAAACGAATCCCAGCACAGGTTTTTAGTCCATAGTATTTTTGTCTTTTTGCCCTTTATTCCCCTTTTCCTCCTCATTTTCTTCCTTCTTTAAGAAAAAGCAAAGTATGTCTTGGGCACCTTCTGTGGGCAGGCTGGTGGGCAGCTGTGAGGTCGCTGCTCTTTTGGGGGTGGTGAAGACCCTGAATTGTGTGGTTGTGGCATGGATGGTGGTTGTGGTCTGAGAAGTCTCCACCGACTCTGCATTCTCACACATCTTCTCTTTCGACTAGTGAGAGATACAAAAGGGAAAACAAACTGAGCAATCACAGACGTGTTTAAAACATCTTACGACAAAGTATGTCCAGCTTTAGATTTTAGAGTTTCATTTGGCTGTTAACCTTTCATATTATTGTTTATCTTGCTTAAATGTTATGTTCATCAAAGAGTCAAAGGGTAAAAGTGGAAACTTGAAGAACAACATGCATATATAGATGATATTTATAACATGCTTAAGTATGTGAAGAAAGACTGCCTTTACTTCAAATCAAACAAATCCTAAATCCTAAACATTTGCTAATAGCTTCAGCCTATGTTAGGGTCTCAAATTTAATCTGCCACACGTTGAACAGACATTTGAAATTTTGTTTTGATAAATACTCAAAAGCGAGACAAATAAACAGGACTCATATATATACCTACTTTGGCTCAGCCTAGCAGGGCCATAGTGAAGTCACCGAGAAAAGGTGCATCTCCTATTTTTTTATTGACAGCCTATGGAAATAGATCTGTAATTTTCACTAATAGTCACAGTCTCCAGTGCTGGAACTTGGATGGTTCACAGTTGTGCTGCACCTCTCTGTGCTTCCAAGGACTGTCTCTCTGGCAGGCCTGAAGAGAACCCATGCTTTCCAAACAGTAGTACTCACGCCATATTTGAAAATTCCAAAATAAACACCTTTCTTCAACCCTCTTCTAATTAGTGAGGCACTGTGCACATTTTCTCTGCTTAATGAAGAGTTCTTACACAGCTCCCCTTGCATTGACTGGATACGATGTGGGCTTACTTTCCATTTCGAGTTTTACCGGCCCAGGGACCCACTGAATGCCTTAGGTTGTGGTTCCCTCATCTTTCCAGCGCCACGGAGCTAATCATCTCTCTGACTCAACTTTAGTCGTCACCCCTGCACCCCGCACAACCTTCTGTTGGAAATGCTTCAAGTCTAAAATCATAAACTCAATTATTGTGCCTCGGGCTTCCCCTGCACCATGTTCATTCAAGTTTTTATCTTTTGACTACCTAGAAAACCCAAGCACGGTGATTTTCTTTCTTTAATATCGCTTTTTTTCCTATCACTGTAACCCATTTTCACCAGCTTTAAGCATCTTGCTGTTTTTGTTTTCCGCACATTTTCAGACCCTCAGTTCTGTATGCAGGGAGATCTGCCCTTGCACAGCTGGAGACGATCCCTGGGAGCTCCACACAGGGGTCTTCATCCTCAGTGGCTGTCACAGTTGCCTAGCCAGGCTGCTCTGTGTGGCTCCTCGCTTCTCCACTGGGCCCCACTTTCTCCCATTCCCACTCTACTTCAAACGAACCATCCCATCATATTTCTCCCAAGTCGACTCCATCCGCTAACCTTTTATTCTTTGATAAAAATGATATCATGAGCTACATTTCTTAACAAATCAGCCCACTTTCTCCCACCTGAACTGATCTCTGAGAGATCAAAGACACCTCAAATACCAGAAGCCCAGAATGGAACTCATCATATTTTTCTCCACCTGTATAATTTTTCCTCAAAGAATAGTACCCCCAAGTCCCCCTATGTTTAAAGTGAAATCCTGGATTCAGTTTGTCTGGGAAAGTAAAGGCAGACTAAGACTCTGAAGAGCCCTTGCTGTTACAAAACAAGTAGATTCTGGATAAAACATGAATTTTAAAGCAATATTGGAAGTCACAGGAAGTAAAGAAAATCTCCAATTGTGCATTTCCATTTGTTCTCTTTGTTCTTCTAAAACAAATAAACAACTGTGAGCTGTAAAGAGAACAGGAGCAGCAGGGTTCTTCCTGAGGAAAAGAAGCCAAAGTCCTCTGATCACTCAAAGGAGATCAATCCAGCATCACCCTTGGGGGCAATAAACCAGAACTTCTCTTCATCTCATAACGGCAGGAGCTGTAGCTGTGGTATCCCAAAAACCCTCAGAGCCCCATCATCAGCCTTCTTTGGTGGGAAGCGTCACTTATTTAGGTCCTGGGAATTCCCATGGAATAAAATTAAATTATATGTACTTCTCACTAAAGGACACAAAGTTGAAACACAAAAAGAGCGCTTGACAAAGAGTCAGTAAAAACAGTGAACAATGAACAGCATAGCTGGACTTAGATGCTGAGGCCATTCAACATGGAGTATACAAAAATTATGTATGGAATATTTAAAGAAGTGAAAGGCAAAATTAAAAAACATGTTGCTAATATGAGACTATAAAAATGACTGGATTTAATCAAGTATCAAATGCACATTTTAGAAATTTGAATTATTATGGTTGCAAGTATTTCCTCGATGAATAAAATAAAAAGAAGATTGCGCAAGATAAAGAGAGAATTCACAAATGGGCAAATATAGCTGAAGAAATTTCCCACAGTACAGCACAGAGAAATAAGAAAGTAGGAGATATAAAAGAGAGATTAAAAATACAGGAAAAAAAAATGAAAAGGTCATGTTTACACTAAAAAAAAAAAACTTATGGTAAAAAGAGAAAGAGAGAGCAGTTGAACAGTACACTGATCAAACTTGACATCCAGCCAATTGGAAAACGTGTTCTTTTTTAGAATATGTATAAGCTGCTCATGCAATATTTCACTAAGATTTCTAACCAATTTGAAAGAATTAATATCATATGCAATGTATTATTTGAAAATTCAATTAAGTCAGAAATCAGTAATAAAAAGATACATTTTAAAAGTTCCCTTAATTTGAAAGTGATTTAATTCACAATTCAATATAATTTCAACTAAACTCTTAATAAAATTTACAGGTCAAAATGAATCTAATATTTGTATGAAGGACAAAAGCCCTAAATAGTCAAAACATTTATGAAAATGAAAAAGTAAGGTGACTTGTCATAGAGATAGCAAGATTTTTTTTTACAAAATTACTGAAATTAATACAGTGTGCCAACTGTCCAAGTAAAAAAAACCAAGTTTTACGTAAGCCAGAAATTATATATGAAAGAGGTGGCTTTCCAAGATATTGTCAAAAGGTTGGCTTATTAAATAGATGGGCCTTGAAATTCAGCTAGCTGCACAGGAGGAAAGCCCTAGATAAAGGATTTTTTTATATTACCTGGTATAAAACCGGTTCAAAATGGAACAAAAACTTTATCGTGAACGACAAGGCTTTAAAACACTTAGAATAAAATATACGAAAATAATTTTATACAGCTTGGTAGGAAAGTTATTTTGCAGGGTAGAGACAGCATTCGAGCCTTACTAAGTTTCCCTGAATGGTCTCAAACTTGAGGACCCTCCTGCCTCAACCTCCCAAGTAGCGGGGAATCAGGGCATGCGCCACCAGGTCTGATGGGAAAAGTCTTTTTAAACAAGATACAGCCACACAGAAAGCTGAACATAAAATAAAAGACCAATAATTTTGACACACTAAACTGACAGTAACTGTGAATTAAACTCAGAGAGAAAATGACAGAGGAACCGAAATTTGGAAAAGAGACACACAGATAGAGGTAGATATAGATATATCTGTTCTTTATAGTTTGTAGCTAATGTCCCCTATGAGCCTCATGTGCTCAGAGGCGGGGCTTGTGAAGGGTGACTGGATTATGGGTCTACAGGGTTTGCTCCTAGGAGGCGGGGCCGGGGTGGGGGCGGGTCACTGGGGGCGTGGCCTGGAGGGGGAGGGCATCTCCCTGCCTGGCTCCTCCCTTCACTGGCTCCTGCTATCCACGCAGCTTTCCTTGGCCCGGGCCCTTGTACCATTCCAGAGAGCATACAAGGACTGACACTTCTAAAACGTGAGCCAAAATAAATCTCTTCTCCTTTAAGTTGTGAGGGTGGAGATTTTGTTCCAGCGATGAGGACAGTTGACTGAGACAATATCGATACCTGGAGGTATGAGCTAGAGCCACAAAACAATAAACAAAAGGTATGAAAAGTGGTAAATAAGATGCAAAATGCTCATCATTTGTAGATGACATGATTGTCTAAATAGAGAGCCACCAAGGATGTTCAGACATAGTCTCTAAATTAGTAGGAGAGTGTTGTAAGGCAGTTCTAGTCAAGATTTATTATGTGTATTTACTTATAACCAACAGAGACACAGTAGACAGAATAAAAACAAAAAGATAATTGCCTAACAGAAAAATGAGAAAAGACACTAATGGGCATCTCATCAGAGAGGAAAGACAGAAGCCCAGGAGCCACAAAGCACACAAGCGTATGTTTGATTCCATTAATGTTTGGAGAAATGAAAATTAAGTTCACAGTTAGAAACATTTTATAACCATTAAGTCTGCAGACAGGAAGACATTTGACAATACCAGGCCTATCAGGGTTCAAGAAATAATAGGAATTCACAGGACTTCCAGGATTGTCATGGAAATCAATACACTGAAAACAATTTGGCATTTCAAAACTGAACATTTTCCTGACTCGCACACAGCAGTTCTACTCTTAGGAATATTAGAGAAACTTCTGTACATTTGATTCAGGGGACATGCACGAAACATTTCTGTCATAGCAAAAACCTGGAAACAATGTCCATAAACAAAAGGCTGAGTGAGGAAAATAGCATGGTAAGTAGGTAAATTCCAAAAAGGCAGGGTTTAGTGGATCTTTTGTTCGTTTTCATTTTTTTCCTACTACATCCTAGTACCTAAAAGTGTGTGGGAGGGATATATAGAGCACACGATAAATATTTGCTTAGTAAATGAATAGTCCATTCATATCACATATAATATAGAGCTACAAAAATGAATTAACAACCACCACAAGAACCAATATGGGTAAGTGCAAAAGTCCACCAAATTTCTCAGTGAAAAACTTCAAACTCAGAGTAGTTCAATTTACTGTTAACAGGGAGGGGTAGGGTTAGGGTGGAGTAGGAGCAAACGGCCAGCTTTTTAGTCATCAATAACTAGTTATTAAGTTGTGTAGCTCAATCATGGGTATTCCTTTGCTTACTGTTTTTCAGAATTACATTAATGTCACAAAAATGTTAAAAGGAATTTTAAACATAGTATAAAAAAGGAGAATTTCAAAACACCCAGTTCTCATTTCCAGGAAAGGAACTACTTATTGGTTCTTCCACCACTACTACCCCCACCATCCTACCCAGTGAGGCAGTCCAGATCACTGTCCTGGTCACTTTTTCATGGCTGAGACACAATATCCAGTATGGAAAATGTAAAGGAGGAGAAGTGTATTTGGGCTCCTGTTTACAGTCTATGGTCTCTGGCTCCAGGGGAGGAATGGCAGGCACAGGGACCTTGTGGAGGAAAGTTGCTCACATTACGGAGAAGTGAGGAGCCAGGGAAGGATATCTGCTTTTCCAGGTCAGGCCCTCAGTAGCTCCTCTTCCAACCACACCCCACCTCCTAACAGCAATTCAGCTGTGGCTCTTCCATATGCAATCACCTTTCAGAAGCTCCCCACCTCTGAACCCATAATGCTTTTGGGGGACATCCTAGATCCAAACCATAGCAGTCACCATCTCTGGCCTGGAATATAGTACAGCCAATGCACTGGCCTCTTTCCTCACAATCCACAGCCAGAGATCCTAAAGAGCCATTTCGACATCCTCACAAATACAACTCTTTAGATTGCTCTCCTTGCCTTTAGGAGAAAACCAAACTCTTTTGACTTGCCAAGTTTAGGGCCCTGTTTACCTCACCCATCTCATCTCTCGCCTTGTCTCTTGTGTCAGCTGTCTTTAGGGTTCACCTTAAACATTACCTCCTTGTGTGAACTGTCCTTCACGCTACTTAACAAGACCCTGCACTTGTAGTTACTATGTCTTGCCCACGTTATTCTCTAAGAGCAGGCTAACTACCTGCTGGGCCTAGTGGCCCATCTACCTAGCTGGACAGAGTTCTCACACCTTTCAATTATCAGTGCCTAAAACATCCCAACATGAAGCGAGTTCTCCATGTGGCCTTGGCCTAACATTCCGCTGCCCTTTCTCACATGTGGTTCTCGAGAGTAAGTGTAGAATGGGCTGGAAATCGTTATCTTGAGATGAAGTAGAGTTGACCCAAACAGTGTTGGCTCTGTTTGGGATGCCTCTTAAAAAGAGAATGGCCCACAATGCTTTAGTTGTGCAAATGTGGTGGCCCCAGGGTGGGCTGCCATCTGGGGTCGCTCAGCTGTGATGCAAGGATGCAAGAGAAGCACTTGCAGATGAGATTCCATCACCCTGGGAGATAGGATTACGACAAGTCCCAGGCTCCTGCTGTCCCTGCTGCCAATCTATGAGTGCCAAACCCGCCTCATGTATCTTGTGATATGTGTGTGCGTGTGTGTGTGTGGGGTGTTCCGTCTCACCGAACACAAGCAAGTCGGTAACCAGTGCAAGTGAACCTGCTTAACAAACACATACTATACTCACTATACTTACTGCAGAAATTCAACTCACAGCATAAGAAAGAAAATTTAACCCAGTTTTAGGTATGGAAAATGGACTGCGAATTGGTCAGCTTGTTTACTTACCTGTAAGAATGGTACAACTGCTTACCACAAAGGTAGTAATATTGATGATTTAATTGCACAATAAAAAGGAAACATTGACTGTTATAGAATAGGACAGAGTCTGAGCTCTTTGGGAAGAGGAAATTTTTGTTTCTAATCTCTTTAGTGGTTTAGTGGTTAGCACAGTTCATAGGCTATGGTGATGTTCTCTACAGTATACTTAGGAGGGCACAATATGATAGATTTTTCTATATTGCCTATAGTTCATAGTGAGAACATAGTGACCAAAACAAATAAAATGTATTACTTGGTGAATCTTTACACATTTCTTTTGAACATTTTTTAATTGGGTTGACTATGATTACATGAGACAATGATTTGAAGATGTACTAATGGGCTTATCAATGTACTGTATTTTCTTCTGCACTGTGTTGTTAGGTAAGTGAAGTTCATATATATATATATATATATATATATATATATATAACTAGTTTTCCAAATGAATGTCAAAAAGTTGATTAAGTATACTTAATGACTCAAGAATGTTCTTCAAGATGTATTTCTTGAGATCTTTATGAGACGTTACCCCCAAAAATGAATTTTAAAAGACCTTCTATGAATCGTTTATGCCCTAATAGTTTTTAAAATAGCACGTTGGCATAATTTGCTTTATTGAATGAGAAAACTTGTGTAACTGTTAATGATTTTAATCAAAATTCATATGCTAAAATTTCATAGAGGAGGAAGAAATTCTTTTCTTTATGAACTATTTATAGGATCTCCCCAACCTTGAAATGATAATGTAAATGAAATTCACTAGAAAACTTTCAAAAAGGTTAACATTGTTTCCTCGATTGTACACAATTGCTTGAATGACTTCATTGCATGATTACCTCTATTGTGTTTACTAGATGTACCATTTCTTCTCTGTGTTACCTATGTTAAACTATCCATTATTATCACACACCCGATTTGCTATAATCAGTCTTTTCCTCATACCGCTGTTTTGTATTTGAGCTAAAAGGGGGATAACTGTTTCCTAGATTGTAGGAAAGCAGTAAGTATTTAGGAGCAATGTCTTCTGCTTGCACTGATTCAAGTCCTGGCTCTCCTATTTTTCCATAGCCAGGTGCCTAACTCTAAGCAACTACACTATCCCTCTCCCCACAAACTCCCTCCACCTCTTCCTTTCCTTTTCCGGTCATATGAAGAGTATTAACAGCACCTACCACATAGGATGGGAATGAGAACAAGTTGAGCTAATACATATAAGAAATTAAAATGAACTCAGTGCCTGGTACATACAGGAGTTCAATGACTGCTGGCTACTTCTGAGCTAAAGTAGATACCATTCTTCTTATTAAGTTGTAGTAGCAACATATGACAGCTTGGCCCCAGGAACTTTATCATAATAAAGCACATGCGTACCTCTTCAGGGCATCCACTGTCCACCCAATCCTGCCGATGGCGATCAAATCCACTGGAACATCTTCCAGGATCAAATCGTAGTTCAGCAAAGAAAGTACAGGGCGGAGGGTAGGGAAGAGAAATTGAGAGAAAAAGACTGGTAAGTAGTTGTTTCTAACAATTTCAGGGTAGCGCAGCATCCAGTTTCCGCAGAGCCGGTAACTGGAGAAGCAGTGTGCATTCGGTGTTGCTGACCTCTCCCTCATCACTCACTCCTCAGGTGTCACACCGTTAGGGTCACACACGGTGACACTGCTGGGCTGAGACTGACCACACAGTAGAGAATGTCCAGTTCCCTGCACAAAGCTAAGACCAACTGCTATTCCACGAAACGGATTTTCTTCTTCCTCATATTTTCTTTTTCTCATCATCAAAACAAATCAATACACACAAGATTTTTGTAGGCATCATTTTAGTGAGATGAATGAATGAATGCATGAATGAATGATTTATTGACCTCTGTCCCACAAACTCTTTCTCTACCATGCATCACAGGGTTAACTCAGCAGCAGTGAGATTTTCCATCAGCTGCTGGGAGATAATCTCTGCAGCCTGAGATACCTTCTGCCTGACAATGGTGTTGGCTTCTGCAAGACAATCTCTGCTGACGATGATTTATTACGCACGTTGATGTAGTTCCCCTGGAGCCCAGGGCTATGATGCGTCATTTTGACCCCTGGGGGAGCCTGAGACTCAGGGATGAGTCAGGGTGGTCACAGGGGTTTTTCATGTCTGTGTGGATGACCCTCACTAAAACCCTGAGCACAGGCATGGGTGAGTGTCCTGGTTGGCACTGTCGGATGTTGTCACACATCACTTCTGGTGGGATTAGTGCTGTCTCTTTGTTCTTGCTGGGGGAGGACAGCTGGAACCTTGTCCCAGAGGCTGTGCTATGTGCTTTTTACCTTTGCTATTTTAATTTTAATCCACCTTCTTTTTCTGTAATAAATGGTGACTTTGCACATAGCAGCTTTTCTGAATTCTGTGAGTCCTTCATGTGAATGGTTGAACCTGCATGTGTTCTTGGGGGTGCCCTACAACACATTAGGGAATACCAAGTTAACAAGATTGTGTTTATACTCCTTTATTTGACTGGAATAATTTGTCTTCACTACCTATTCTGATATAGCCCATTTATTTTCATGACTAGAAATGACTTCTCATAGTACATTCTGATAAAGCTTCATAATTGTTGTGATCCTATCATTACTATTTAACACTTCTCCTTTATATAATATCTCTTAAAGACCAAACCTGATTGAGAACATGTTAAAGTTAAGGTCAATGTTTTATACTGATCACATCTGGCATATCTGACACATGATTTTCTTTTTACATTAGAAATTCAAAATATTCTTACCAGTCTATAAAAATGAAAGATTTACATTGTCCCTTAATATTAACACATAAATATTTATTTATATATAGTATATAATATATAAAAATTCATATTAATGAATATTAATATGATAGGCATTTATTTATTTTTGAAAATGGAAGCTATTCAGTTTTGAGGGGTTATATTTCTTATAGTGCTCACAGTTTTACTTCACAACCTTTTTTCCCCTTCTTTTGTTTTGCAAAGAGTCCACATAATGGCTTTTTCTAAGAATTCTAGCCAGAGATGCTAGGATTCTTTCATATACCACGGCATGAAAGAGCATAATTTAATTCCAGTAAAATGTGAAAGCAACCTACTGTCAACAAAAAAGACCATTTCTATCATTCTCTCCAGCCACGACCCACTGAAGCTCTGCTATTTTATGCCTACCATTTGTGTTGAACAAGCTTACATGTGGAATAAATGTCAGCGTGTGATTTGGCATTTTAACTTTGAGAATCCCTAGTTGGCTTGGGCCGTCTCTGCTTACGCAGAGAGATTCTGATGTATAGTGGTGTCTATTTAATTCCAGATCAGTTACATGACTCTTCCCTCCTTTCCTTTCAAGTCTGCTTAAATATTAATGAATGCACTTTTTTGGGAGGTGCAATGTATCAATTTTCTACCAAGAAAAAATTTGGTGGAGTGTCATCTGAATACAAGTACTTGAAATGAACAGGTGATTTTAAAAATACAGTTTGCTTTCACTTCTTCTACTCCAGATGGACCCAAAGCCAGCGGAATATATAAACTTTTACCTCATATTATAATGACACAGTAGCAAATCTTAAATTTGTGTACCACTGAATGCTTATCTTAGAAAAATTAGCTGCTGAAATTGTTAAATTAATCCCAGGATAAAGTAGAGAAGTATTGCAGTTTCCCTGATTCATTAAACAATCTCTCAGTTGTATTGTGTGAAATCAAATTCTACTGAAAATATGTGCGTCAAGGAAGCCCTTCACACCTTTACTTACTTATAATTGATTCTCTATTAATTTATCCATAGTTTACTAATGGTGAGGACAGAAGGGACTGAACGCCAAAACTAGTATAATGTGAAAAGCTCATATATCTTTGTACTTAAGTTCCTTTGAAAAATGAATAAAATCGGATTGTGACTTTTTAGCATTTCTTTTAAGTCAGAAATCTAAGTAACATCCAACACAAGTATAAGCAGAGGTGTGTGTGTGTGCACGCGTGCGCAATATAGATTCTGAAAGTCACCACCTCGTTTTTTCTGAATTCTAAATAAAGAAAAAAACCCACCTTGTTTGAGAACACTTTCCTGTCTCCCCTGAGCTGTTCCTTTACTGTTTGTGTTTGTTTAAACACTGTGACATTAAGCATGTCATGCTTCAGCGTGTTGATTTCCCAGTGTTCTCAACAGTGATTCTCAAAGAGCCTGTCCACGTCAGAACTCCCTGGGATGCCCGCTGAAATGCTGTTCCTGGAGCTGAGTAAGATTCTCCAGCAGATGGGGTCCAGAGATTTTCATTACAAAGTAGCACACCGGAAGATTCTTAGCACACTGAAACCGGAAGACCACAGACTTCCTGCAGGGTGTGAGCGGGCCCCGCCCCTCTCCTTAGCCCATTTCTACGTCCACTCTCACGCTGTTTCCTTTCCAAGAACTGCAGTTTGCCTGCCCTTCGCTGCTTTCTCTCATGACTCTGCCTTGGAACACGCTGTTACCTAAGTCTGGAATCCCCAATTAGTAAACTCAGTTCAAGTCAAGCCCAATCCTCCCAGAAACATCTGTGTTTCCTCTTCAGGCAAAGTTAGCAACCCTTCCTCAGGCCCTCCACACCCCAAACCCACCCCATTCCAGTACCAATACCATGTATTCATTTATTTATTTATTCTGGGGATCAAACTCAGGACATTGCGCTTGCGACGCAGGCGCGGTGCCACTGAACTAAATCCCCCGCCCGCTCAATTTCAATAACTACACTATGACTGGTTGCTTTTGAATTCATCTTAAAAGATTTCTAAGGAACGCAGTAAGAGTAAAGTGCTTTTGTTAGAATTTTGTCTTGGGCACAAAACAGGCTTGTGATCCAGTTATTTTGTGTTATTTTTCCTTTCTATTTTAAAATTTTATCTTATTTTATCATGACAAAATAGATTTGTATATATTTATGTGGTACAGTGTGATATTACGGCATATGTGCTCAATGTGGAACGATGAAATTAACCTAATTGATATGTCTATCATCTCAGAGTTTTTTGTTGTGAGAAAATTTAAAGTTTACTTTCTTAGTAATTTTGAAACATACAATACACTATTACTAACTAGTCTCCATCCTGAGCAGTAGAACGTAAAACATTAGCCTCCCTATCTAATTGGAACTGTTATCCTTAAGTTAGTTTTCCCTTCTAAGCCAGTTTTGTCATCTGTAAAATGAAGTGGGAGGAATATGTAATGATTAGAAGTAGGGTGGGATACAGGAAAGATTTCATAAATGTTAGCTCTTTTTAATAGCTTGGTCATGTCTCTGTAGTAGGCATGTAGCAAAGTTGATAACTGTAGGAAAATGAGTGAGATTTTCACAATCGATACAAGATGTAGAAAATATTTTGGAATTTATTCTGTGTAGCATGTTAATGTGAAATGTTTCATAATATAAATTCCTTATCATCATATTTAGATTTATAGAATCTTATGAGAAAAAGATCTAAGTTGCTTTCACATAAGGGCCAAATCTTTATTCAACATTTATATGAAGACAGAAATTACGGAGTTTTGTAAAGATTCCTCAAATATTAACTTGAAAAAATCCGAGCGCCTAATTCCAATAGATTCTCAATGGTTTTATTTCCAAATTATTCTCTTCTACCTAATTCCAAAACAAATGGACAGAGGGCTATGCTTCAAATTAATCCTACTCTTCACTCAAATTCAACGACGTGCTGATTTCAAAGCCCCGAAGAACATGTTAAATGAACCTCACTAAAAACTGCAGTCTGGAAAACACAATATTCTCTTTGCTTGCATCGTCTGTCAAATCAATAAATAAGAGTATAAATTAAATGTTGTCAAATTTCTTATCTCAGTTTTGTAGAAAATGTTTCAGAAACAGGACTGCTACTTTTCCAAGAGTAATATATTTGGATGAAGGAAATAGATATCAGAATATATGCACCAGTGATTAAATAAGGATTAAAAATGAAGCACACGTCTTTTTGAACAAGTGAATTTCCATCATTTTGTCTGTAAAATGAAACATCTTCAAAAGAAATCTCAGGAAGAAAATATTATATGAATTTAGGATTGTGCCAGGAATTATTTTCTCCATCAGGGATAAACAAACTTGTTCTGTAAGGGATTGGATAGTAAATATTTTAGGCTATGCAGGCTATATGAGTTTTGTTCCAACTAATCACCTTTTCCACTATTAATTTGAAAGCAGACACACATATGTAGGAACAGATGGATGTAGCTGTATTCCAATAAAACTTTATTTGTAAAAATAGGAAGTGATGTGACCCACTTTCTTCCTATAGTTTGTTGAAATCTGTTCTAGATTACTATGTAAAATCCTGAAGATTCTGGGACAGATGCCTCATCAAGCGCATTTATCAGTGTGTTATCTTAAAGGAAAAATCAGTTGCACACTTAGGAAATTTTCCTGCCAGTT